TACACCCTAAAACCCCCAACCCTAAACCCTAAACCCTAAAACCCTAAACCCTACACCCTAAACCCAAAACCCAAAAACCCTAAAACCCCAAACCCTAAAACCCTAAACCCGAAACCCTAAAACTTAAACCCCAAACCCTAAACCCTTAAACCCTAAAACCCCAAACCCCAAGCAACATGGCAAAGTGGCAGAGCCATCTCCCAGCAGTACGGCGCACGCCAAACAGCAGCCTTGGACTACCTGAAAAAGCTGTACTCACCGGGGATTTAGGGTTTAGGGTTTGGAGTTTAGGGTTTAGGGTTTTAGGTAGGGAGTTTAGGGTTGAGGGTTTGGGGTTTAGGGTTTAGGGTTTGGAGTTTAGGGTTTTGGGGTTTGGAGTTTAGGGTTTAGGGTTTGGGGTTTTGAGGAGTTTAGGGTTTAGGGTCTGGAGTTTAGGGTTTAGGGTTTGGAGTTTAGGGTGTAGGGATTGGGTTCAAAACTAGCACAGTCCGAGATAGGTCCCCCTATACCCCCTGTGTATCCCTTGTAGGTCCTCCCTAATCTAACTTTCGTTTTCCCGGGTGTTGGGCTTCAAAGTTTGTGTGGTTACGAACAGGGTTTAAGGTCTCGGGATTGGGGTGTAGAGTTTAGGGTTTAGGCTTCAGGTTTGTGTGAGAGGGTCCCCAAACTAACCTGGAATTTGAATCCAGCTGGTTCCATAGTCTGGATTTTTGTTCAGGATGCAAAAGCAATTCAAATCCGAAGGCAACCATGATTGGGCCCCATTGCATGGGGAGCCTTTATCCCGTGATCTTGCTGTTAATCTCCCCACAGGGCCCGGTGGGTGAACCTTCAGGCCGGATCGCTACAACCTGAACAACCAAGCCCTAAACCCCAAAACCATCTAAACTCGAACCTGAAATCCTGAAGCCTTATCTGGAAACCCTACACCCTAGACCCCTACATACACATACTGATAGGTGCAGGGCAAGTTCGAACAATCTCACCTCAAATGCTTGTACGTACAAACAGTAGTCCCCCAAATGGCATTAAAGCCCTAGTATACTTCTCCAAAAACAAACTAGCTCCCAAACGGCCAGGGCACCCCGAGAAGGATCACATACACAACCGCACATGATCATCATCACACTCTGTATCACACTCTGTAGATGAGAGTGATAAGCCCGACCAATGAAGATCACCAAAAACTCGAGTACGTTCACTGTCACTTTGCGAATGGCTCAAATCACTTTTAATCAGAAGCTTACAATCAGAACC